TTCAAGTCGGAGACCAACTTCTTCTTTTCCGCCAGGTCCAAGCCGGCCGCCAGCTCATTAGTGACGTCGCCAGTCTTCTCCGTCATGCCGTTGCCGCCCTCGTCGCCGTCGCCGGCGCTGGCCGTCTCCAGGGGCGGCGGCGGCGGCTGCTCCGTCACGCGCACGGCCTTGGCGGCGGCCACTGCCTTCATAGTCCGCTGCAACGGCGTAAAGACCGACGTGAGGAGCTTTACAATCTCGGAATGGCGGGCGTCGAAGTGGCCCGGTATCTGCGTCGAGACTTGGATGAGATCGGAGTCGAGTTCTCCCACCCAGAGCTGCTTGTGCAAGGCGGTGGCCTGATCTGGCCACGCGCGCATGTCCGGGCCGTATTCCGACTGGAGGACGCTCTCGATGAAAGGCAGAAGGCGGGCGAACGCAACCCATGCTGGCGCGCTGCTGAACGCGTCGACCGTCTTATGCTTCATGCGGAACTCGAAGACGCGGCGGGCGGCGTACTGGGCCATGCGAATCTGTAGCTGCTCCCCTGCCTGTCCGTCACGGCACGGGGCACCGCCTCCTTCTCCTTCGTCGTTGAGAACGCCGCGGTCGTCAAGACCTCGGGCGACACCAAGATGGCGCGGGTGATCGGGAAAGGCTTGTGGGCCAATCCCTGCTTACCGAGTTCTGACCAGATGTCCGTCATGAGAATGTCCAACGCCTTCCCCGAGAAGCCCTTCAGGAAACGCACGCGCACCGAAACCTCCTGTCCTGGAAGCTCTTCATCTGTGCGTGAGCCGCCTGCACCTTGTTCTGCTTCAGCCAATTCAGATTGCACTCCTGCTTCATGATCGCCTTAACCTTGTTCGGCCGCGTCGGTGCCACAGATCCGACCAGTTTGGACAACCACGCTGGCGTCGCCTGCCTAGGGTCGCCCAAGATCGCGGAGAACTTGAAGACGTCGAGCGCCTTCGTGGGATCCAAGGAACCTGCCGCACGCATGGACTCGCACCACTGTTGAACCACTGTCACGTTCTCGAGCTCGGAGTGCCGCTTGTACTCTTCCTTCGCTACGTTCTCATTTGCGTTCAAAAGCTCCACGTCCTCCGACTCGGCGCCCAGGAACAACATTACCCGAATGCTCCTGAGGGCCGTGGCGATATGGTCGTCGACTTTGCCGTGCAAGTACTGTTTGACACCGAGGGCGATGAGTCCGAACAGCGAGCTCTGGTTGCTCAAGGTGAGGCGTTGGGCCCCGTATGGCGCCTGCGCCTGGAGTCCGCCAGCCCGCCTTTCGATGGAGCTGCCCCAAGAGGCGGAGTTCTTGGAGATCCAATCGCTCACGTACCCAACGTGAAAGACTTTGCCTGGGGCGCACCACTTAACGAAGAGAGCCGAAATGACAGTGGCCACCGTTGCGTCTGGGGCTGGGGTGCCCGCCGAGGTAGCGTCCAAGTACTTATTGTGCAAGTCGCCGATAACGTCTGGGCGGTAGGCCGCGACGCCGTCAATGGGAACAGCAGAGGGCTCGCCCATGTTCACGGCGTCGTATTGGAGGTTCAAGTGGACCGCCAAGCCCATCTTGAGGCGGTGTTCCTCTGTCGGGTCTAACTTGAAAAAGTCTTCGAACGCCCATCCGGGCTTCGAACCCAAGCCAGCTGCCATCGCTGCCCTAACTTGATCGTTAAACACGCTGGGAAGAGTCATGTCCTGAGCCAAAGCGCGCGAACGGAACCACGCGCGGGCATGAGTAGATGGGGGGGGGCACTTCGGCAGCATACTTACTGCGCTGACGCTCCCCCAATCCATGCAATTTTTTCCAGCCCGACTGGAAGTGAACTCTCTGCCCCCAGCGGGCGAGCGCATCGTTCTGGCTCTGGCAGCAGATCCAAAATTCAACCAGGCAGCGAGGGCTCGGGTCGAAACCACTCAAGCGCCAACCACTGAAACCGACCACTTTCGTTCCAAAATGGTCGGTTTTATCTAAAGGCAAAGGGCGAGACTCTGAAGAGGAGGGGAAAGCGAGACGAGGAGGTGGATGAGAACATCTCTCTTGGAGGAAGCCGGGGAGCTCTAGGACAGGGAACGGAGCGGGGACGACCACGAGCAGGAGGATTCCGCCACCGCGCCCTTCGTCGCGGAGCGGGTGCGCCCTCAGGCACTAAGCTAAAACCCCTGAGCCAATCTTCAGTCTTGAGAGTTCTTTAACAAGGGACCCCGCAAGTCGGCCTCCAATCGCCCTGGGCTTGCCGCTGTCTCCGTGGGTCTTCCCGAGTCTCCCCGCGTGATTGTCTGAGGCCCGACCGGGCCCAGCATGGGCGCCGAGGAGCCGGGCCATCAAGACGGCCCGAGAGCCCCCCCCCCAGACGACCAAAGAGCATTCCAAGCATTCAATGCACCCGTCTGTTGTTGAAGGAAGGTATTCGGCCTTGTCGCTTTTTCGGCTTCACGACGGTCCAAGACGGATCCAGAGGCTCCCGAGACCGCCTCAAGACCGTCTGAGCACGGCCCCAGAATCCCAAGAGCGTCCAAGAACGGACACAGAATTGGAAATCTGAGACTCCTGCCCCAAGAAGCTCCGAAAGGCCCCCGAAAGGCACCAAGAAGTCCCTAGTTAGAAACGCCAGAGAAGCACCTCTGAGGCCCCAAGAAGCCTCGAGAGGCTTCCGAACTGCCTCCCGCAGGCCCCACAAAGAGGCCAACCTGGAGATCCCACGGCGCGCGACGCCTTGTCGGACGTTGCTTGTGGCTTGGCAAATATGCTGAACCCCCCTCCCCCTCGTCGTCATTCTCTTCTACTTCCCCCTCCCTCGTCGACGGGAGACCTGATAGTCGCAAGCGCCGTTTAGACGTCGCGCAGAGGTGCGCGCGGCGATTCAGGAGGGAGGTCAATCGCACTCAAGCTGCTGCCAGTTGCCTCATTTTCGATCCCCCTCCTCCTCCTCCTACTCCTCCTCCTCATTTGTCCTCCTCCCCTCCTCCCCCTGATCCTCCTCCTCCTCCTCCTCCCCCTCCTCCTCCTCCTCCTCCTCCTCCCCTCCCCTCCTCCCCCTCCCTTTCCTCCTCCTCCCCCATCCTCCTCTTCTCCCTCCACTTCCTCCTGCCCTTCTTCCTCCTTCTCCCCCTTCTCCTACTCTCCTCCTCCTCCTTATTTTTTTCCTCTTCCTCTTCCTCACTGTCCCGTCGCCAAGCTGCCCGGCGGTGGACCTCGCGGCGAAAGTATTTCTGCTGGCTGCCCCGTCCTCCGCCGTCTTTTCTCCCCTCCTCCTCGCCCTCCTCAAACCCCCCCTCCCTCCCCCCCGCTCGCGCCTGCTTTCCCTGACCGGCATTTCAGCGCTAGCGGAGATTGGCCCCCCCCCCACCTCCCCCCCCCCCCCGCCCCCCCCCCCCCCCACCCCCCCCCCCCCCCCCCCCCCTCCCCCCCCCACCCCCCCCAGCCCCCCTCCCTCCCCCCCCCCCCCCCCCCGCGCCACCCCCCCCCCCCCCCCTCGCCCCCCCCCCGCCCCCCCCCCCGTCCCCCCCACCCCCCCCCCCCCCCCCCCCCCCCCGCCCCCCCACCCCCCCCCCCCCCACCCCCCATTCCCCCCTCACCCCCTGGCATTCAACGAAACTCGCGGATGATGCCGTGCGCGTTAACCCTGGCCGGAGATGAAGAGGGCACGCGCAATCAATGCGCCACTCACTGGCGTGCTCACCCTACCCCCGACAAAGCGCTAACGCGTCATCCTTGACCGAGAAAGTTTGAGTTCTCGCGGGGGGGCGTCGCTTTCCCGACAACTGCAACATGAGATATGCCATTTTCTATCGCTGCAATTGTTTTTGCGCTGCCCTTGCCACCTCGCTCCTCCCATAGCTCGCTCCTCGCCCCCTGCGCCGTTCCATAGCGCTTCGGTTTGCTTCAGTGCTCCTAGCGACCATGCGGCCCACATTGCCCTTCAACTGCATGCCCCGAACGCGCCCCATCGGCCTTGCACCCGCTGCTCGAAGGACGCATGCCGACGAGCACGCAAGGCCCCGCGCGGGGACGGGGGCGGCCGTGCCACGCCCCAGACTAAAATCAGAAACGCGCCGAAAGGACTCAGCAAGGTTTTAATTGGCTGGCCACTGCAGTCATAATCACGCCCACGACTGGGACCGACATGGCCATGCCAGCCATGGAGTATATCTCGCTGCGGCTGAAACGCTCGAGCGGTAAAGCCCCCGCGTGCCCCTGGAGCGCCAGGCACTGCGCTGGGGACAAAGCAGCGCCGAACGCAGGGGCGAATAACCCGCCGCACGTGTGGGACAATGTCGGAACTAGACCGTCATCCCGGAGCTGGTGCCGCCCTGCGGACTGCGACGTGTTCAGGATAACGTTCGGCTTCATCAAGTTACGCCCTTCGGACAAGACCGTCAGGAGTTTACGCTTGCTTGGGGATCCCGACACCTCGGGGCACACCTGGACCTTCTTAGAACCCACAAGGCGCCAATAATTGGGCACCCGCTTTAATGTCGGATTCCCAGTCACCTTGCGCCACGCCTTCAAATAGCTCGCCCTTGCCTTCCTACTCTTTACGAACAGGATCTCGCAACGCCTGCGCCACGAACACTTCGCAAACGAATTCTTCTTTGCACCCCGAGACTTCTTACATGATGGGCATTGGCAGAGGTGGATGATGCAGACGCTGCGGAAACTGTACCGAACAGGGCCGAACTCCTTGCAACCGTCGCAAGGGCCCGATGAGCTATCGCTCTGTTGGGCCTGCATCGGCAATCCGACGTCAGCCAACCATTGATGCCACGGCTCTGGCGCAGGGCATTCTGAGCGTTTGAGGAGAACTCGTATATGATCCAAAACTGCTTTAGCTGTAGTGTGGCGCGTCTGCCCCTTGCGCAACAGAACGATGCACAAGCGCACCCGGTGCTGGGGCAAGCCGTAATCTTGGCTCTTGAGAATAAACTCTTGCCACTCGTAGCCCTCTACAGTCTGCAAAGCTGCGTGAAATGCCGCCTTGTTCTCTGGGTCGCGGATCTCTTCTACATGTTCAAAGAATGGCCGCCCGAGGACGGGTGGCTACGATCGTCTTCAGGACTCCGAAGAAAGTTTTTGCTGCTTCCGCTTGGAAGCCCTGCCGCACCCCGAGCTTAGTGAACGGAGAGCACATGAAGCCAGCCAGGTAGAGGTCAAAAGCTGCAGAGTGCATGTCGAGCGCGCGCACCTGCCCGTCGACGCGACGCGCCAACATGCGACCTCTATGAAATATGCGCTGGGTCACATCTGCAAGTACAGGGGTGCCCGGCACTACCGCTTCCAGCATCCGGCGGCAAGCTGGGCGCAAGTCACAAGTGAAGAGGTGGGCGGTTCCAGAATGCCCAGCTTGCGCCCATGCCACTTCTGCCGCCCCCAACCCCGAGCAGTCCGACGCCATCGCCAATCCCCAGGTCCAGCCATCAAGCGGGTTCCCTACCGCGTCCTGTGCGCATGACACCCACGGTGCCTTGATGCACTTCATGGCACGCAATGAATCCCCTTCGGTGTCGATCCAAACGGCTCGGGTGGAGGTCGCCTCTCCCCAGCAATCTTCACCCCGATCCTAAGACAAGCAAAGCAGGGCGACAAGGACATGCCGAGGGGATCGACAGCTGCGCCCCCCCTGTCAGACATGGAAGTACTTAGAGGCCGTGGCCGACCCCTTTCACATGTCACGTTATCCCATCAAAAATACGATTTGCATGCGTGCAAGATAAAAAGGATACAGAAGATGGCGCCAGAGCTGAGCCGTAGACGCCCCACAGCAATCGCAAATTCTCCCAGTGAGGCCCTACCTAGAAGTTGGAGCCCCTAGGAAAGCAGCATTAGTAGTAACGATAAACGCCGTTCTCCTCCTGGTATGCTATGCTAGGCTATGCTATGATATGCTGAGCTATGCTATGCTATGATATGCTATGCTGTGCTTCGCTAGGCTATGCTATGATATGCTATGCTGCGCTATGCTATGATATGCTATGCTATGCTGCGCTATGCTATGCACTGCTGTGCTGCGCCATGCTATGCTATGATATGCTATGCTATGCTATGCTGCGCTATGCTATGCTATGGTTTTTGTTATTATGCGTTGATTTGCTTTGCTTTGCGTGCGTCGCTTGTGCTTTGCTGTGCTGTTGCTGCAGTTGCATTGCCATTGTTTGGATGCTAAGTATGATATGTTATGCTATACTGCGCTATGCTATGCTATGCTATGCTATGCTATGCTAGGGTATGCTATGCTGGGGTATGCTAGGCTGCGCTATCTTATGTTATCCTAGGCTATGCTATCACATGCGATGCTGCTCTATGCTATGATATGCTAAGCTATGCTATGAAGTGCTATGCTGGCCCATGCTATGCATATGCTGAGCTATGCTGTGCTGCGCTATGCTGTGCTGCGCTATGCTGTGCTCCGCTATGCTATGCGACCCAGTAACAATCGGAAGATCGAGCTTTGGCGCGTGTCGGGGCTGCTGCCATGGCAACCCCCCCAGTCATGTCCCGGTCGGATCTCCGACCGGGACATGACTGGGGGGGGTCGCCGCGCCGCAGTTGCGCCGAACGAGCTTCCACAATGATTTCAAGAACTTTGGCACGCGTCGGCAGGGGCGGGCGACCCCCCAGTCATGTCCCGGTCGGATCTCCGACCGGGACATGACTGGGGGGGTCGGGGCGCCGCAGTTCCGCCGATTGCGCTCCGCAACGGTCCCAAAAAATTTGGGACATGATTGAACGGCTCCGGCGACCCCCCCTGTCATGTCCCGGTCGGCGCGCCGACCTGGACATGATGGGGGGGTCGCCGGAGCCGATCGGCCCCCTCCGCCCCTAAAACCATTACTTTGGAAGGCGTAGTGGGCCGATCGGCTCCGGCGACCCCCCCAGTCATGTCCCGGTCGGCGCGACCCCCCCAGTCATGTCCCGGTCGGGCGCGCCGACCGCGGACATGACTGGGGGGTCGCTGGAGCCGTTCAATCATGTCCCAAATTTTTTGGGACCGTTGCGGGGCGCAATCGGTGGAACTGCGGCGCCCCGACCCCCCCAGTCAGTCTCGGTCGGAGATCCGCCGGGACATGACGGGGGGGTCGCCCGCCCCTGCCGACGCGCGCCAAAGCTTTTCAAATCGTTGTGGAAGCTCGTTCGGCGCAACTGCGGCGCGGCGACCCCCCCAGTCACGTCCTGGTCGGAGATCCGACCGGGACATGACTGGGGGGGTCGCCAGCAGCCCCGACACGCGCCAAAGCTCTCGCGGCCATTGTTTGGGCCAGCCTAGGTCATGACGCAATCCCGGGGCCCGCCTCTCGAACGCAACGAACGGTTGGCCAAACAAGTGGCACCGAAAAACCGACCATTTTGGATTCATAATGGTTGGTTTTCTGGGTCGACCACCGCGCCCAAAACAAAAGAACACTGCGCGACATGTTTTTTGATTTGAGCGAGCCTTGTATCAGCAACCGAGCAGCCCTAGCGGTGCAAGGCGCGCCGCGCGTGGCTGTGAAACGAGGCCGCGCCTTTCACATGTCCAGTTCGACTGGCCGACCAGGACAAGTAAAGGGAACGCGATATCCTTTCCAAACTCAAGATGTGCAGCCCCCTACGCACGCACTACCGGAGTGCTATTGACGACAATCGCATGAGCATTGCATTGTTTCGACCCGTGGGCCTATGTGCGCGTACACGTACATGCACAGAAGCATCTATGCATGGCCATAGGTGCGTGACTACATACATGCCCGTGTACATACACGCGTATGCAAAACACGAGCTCGAACAAATCTGTGCATTCGCGATTTGCTTCGGGCGTGGATATGCGCGCGGCTCCTCAATTCAACATCGCCAGCAAATCCTTCACGCCTGAATTTCGAAGCCCCTTTAAAGACTTTGTTGGTGCACCCTCGGGGAGAACACATTGAATGCGTTTCGCCTTACGACGTAAACTGCCAATGTTGGGCCTCCAAAGCTCATTCATCATGCTACTGGGGCCCATGGCCCTTGGAGGGCTTGTAATTCTTTCGAGGTTCAAATGGCTCAGAGAACTCGCTAAGTTTGATCACGTCCGATGCACAGGAGTTGTCAAAACCCATGAGGTCAACAGAGGTCTACCCTTCAGCGGTATTCACTTATCCCAGCGCGACCCTACCTAGGAGTTGGAACCCTTAGGAAAGCAGCAGTAGTAGTAACGGTAAATGCCGTTCTCCTCCTGTTACGCTATGCTATGCTATGCTGCGCTATGCTATGCTCTGCTATGCTGTGCTCTGCTATGCTATGCTAGGCTACGCTATGATATACTATGCTTCGCTATGCTGAGCTATGTTATGCTATGCTCTGCTGCGCTATGCTATGCTATGCTAAACTATGCTGCGCTATGCTATGCTGAGCTATGCTATGCTGTTGTGTTTGCTTTGATTTGCTTTGTGTTGCTTGTGATTTGCTTTGGTGCTGCTGCTGTTGAATTGCATTTGCTTTGATGTTATGATATGATGTGCTATGATATGCTATGCTGCGCTATGCTACGCTATGCTATGCTATGCTGCGGTATGCTGCTCTAGGCAATGCTATGCTATGCTGGGGCATGCTCGGCTGCGCTATGTTATGCTAGGCTTTGCTATGATATGCAATGCTGCGCGATGCTATGCTATGCTAGGCTGTGCTATGCTGCGCTATGATATGCTAGCCTACGCTGCGCTACGCTATGCTGCTATGCTGCGCTATGCTGTGCTGCGCTATGCTATGCTCCGCTGCGCTATGCTATGCTATGCTATGCTACGCTCGGGGAACCTCGCCCGGGGGACAGGGGGAACCGCCCGGGGCGCAATGCACTGCCCGGCTCCTTTAAGCCAACAGAGTAAGAACTCGCTAGGCAGAGCCTAGGTAGGGAACTAAACTTCCCAGAGCAAAGCTGCAATCAACAAAGTCGTTGGTAGAAGGAAGCTGCGTTCAATTCAACTTCAATTCAAGTGGATGACCCGTTAAGTGCCCTCGAAAACATCAAAGGGCAGCAGCCCAATTCGCAAGGCCCATCGCGCCGATTGTTGCTTACATTGTTCAGATGCCGTTCCTCGCGATGTCTGGCCCCTGGACGGCCAGACGGTGATAATTCAAACAATTGCCGATCGGCGCTCTGACTGTCTGCTCCCATTTCTTGTCTGCTCCCTGCGCGGGTCCAAAATTATTGATTCACTTTGGTGGTCCGCTGTTCTCCTGCGCGCTACGTCAGAACGCAACGACGCTAACGATGCGAACCCGCGTGGGGAATCTGGGCCGCCGCAGACAAGAGCTCAGGCTAACCCCCCCTCCCGACGACGCGCAAAACTAATCAAGCCAGTCCCGAGAAACCCAGCAAACGGCATGAGACGTGGAGGCAAATCCGAGTCCAAGAGGTGGGGTCCGAGATCCAAAGATCGGCCTCCAGCCCCCAACTGGGGCCCGGCGGTGCCAAGAAAGCAAGCCAGCGTTCGCAATTCGGAAAGGTTCAATATGAACTCGGCGTTTCGGGGTAGCAGCACTTCGGGACTTCAGGGCACTCAGCGCGCACAGCCGTTGAGCCCCCCTTGTGTCATTTGGCAACTGTCGCGGCAAGCAGTCCACCTACTCATAGTTGGCCCCAGTGCGCGCCGCAGATCTTCGGGCCCACGGTGCCCACGAGCCCTTGGAAGACGGAGAGGGCGCAGCAGAAAGAAAAGCAGCGGGCGCTGAGCTAGAATGGAGGATCGTCTAGCCATGGGCCCATATTCTGCGCTCCCTAATCTGCCAGAGTTCACGGCGCTATCATTTTTGCACGGCATGGATTGTGTAAACTTTGAATGCGCCGAATAATTTGGTGGAATCTTTCGCGCCCTGGGGAACGCAATCCAAACTATTCGCGCCCCGAGCGCGAATGAAAAGAAATGGCGACGAAGCAACAGGAGCGAAGCGAAACTATCCCAAATATTTTGGCATCGCCGCGCTCGGACAAGAACATCGCCCCGCCCCCCTCCCGACCCCCCCTCCTC